GCGCTGGTGCCGACACACTTGCTGACCCCGACATCACATGTAGCCATGACGCTGGTGCAAGATACAGAGCCGAAGCCGGTCTCCAGGCTGGGGGAAGAGAGATTTCGTCTAGTCAGCGCTGCGGCAGAAGTGGGGAATAGTCGATCTGTGAGTGCCGAATCGAGGGTTGAATCACGTTCTGACGACCTTTGCAAGCCCAAATCTCCGATTGCGGGGCTCTCGCAGGGATGGTTGCTGAGCAGCGACAGGTTTACACGACCCTCTTCCGTAATCACTAAATATGGTTGGATAAGAATATTGGAAAAGTCCCTCATTATGTAGCTGCTAGACGCCCGCAAGTACCAAACAGTTTTTTTAAATGTAGGCCTATTAAATGTAATGTTAAACGAATAACAATTATCTACACAACTGGACTAAAAACGATACTCCCTAAGTTGATCTCGCCCAAAAACTTTGGACCTTCTTATGGACAAGAGGTGCTAATAAGAAATTAATACACTTATCTGATAGTTAGTGTGAAATCGCGCTACCCAAGAGAATCCGTCAACTAGCCATCAAAGCCTGAGTAGCATTCAGGGGAGAGATAAGAAGCTCGAGTTTAGTGGTTTATAATGAAGCATACCAATTCTTCGGTATAGGAGGCCAAACGATGGTCTTTCTATATCTTTCGGTTAATATGGGTAGACAGAATTTGATGCCTAGCTTCGAAACGGAAATTCTTATTTTAATTTTAAATACGAAGAGCAACTGGGTTTCGATGAATCTCCTAGACGAGATTCTAAGGAGGATGTCTCGTGTATTGGCGTCGTATCGAAGCCAAACGGCTGTAATACAACGAGGATTAGCCGTCATTTTCTAGTGAGATCAAACTACGAATCTCTTGTTCATGCACTTTCATACGAGATGAAAGTTTCCCCAACAATCTTATTTTGATTCTTGCGGCAAGAGGCTTGATAAGGTTTTTCCTGATTAATTGTTCCTAACTTTTGCAAGGCTCTGAAGGAATTGTGAAGCCAATCCTCTGACATTTTGTACTTACAGCGTTTTAGTTATCCGTGCACAGTTATCAGCAGCTACGTAAAAAATTTTACGTGTATTTGGTTTGTCCCGACCTTCGCTAGCCCAAGGAAATCCAGACAGAATATAGTCTGCAATTAGCAAACCCTTTCGTTGAGTGGCTTAAGCTCGAACCACCAAGCAAAACGGCTATGTAGGCTTTGTCAAAATCAATCCCTT